TCAGGATCTCTTTAGCTATTTTATTAGGAAAGTGAAAAATGAACCCAATGATTAGTTTTGCAATTTCTCAAGATTTAAGAGTTAATACCTTCATCAGGTTCAAGAGATCCTATCTTCTCACATGGGGCACAACTGCTGCTTTTCAAACCTATCAGAGTGTCAAAGGCAGATGTCATTAGAACTGGGCTGAGAGGGAAAGGAAACCACAGAGAAAGGGAAGTTGGAGACCTGATGTATACTGTTTCACAGCAAGTGAAACAGAAGTACCTGTAAACAAGAGACTACATATACAAACCCACTGGGGACTGTTAAGGGGCCACTTACCAGTACAACTCCTAATCAGCCTCAAGAATAAGGGCTGGTTCTCCAGTCTTTTACAAACCTCATCTCTAAGTAGTCTCAAGGGATTTTTCCCATCCTGTGGTGACTCTTCATTTTAACACTTTCATGCTCAGTGAATTATCTAGCCTCATTGAGAAACGAAGGTTAAGGGGGGAACGCAGTGGTAAACAGCCAAAGAGCTCTGAAGCCAAAGAGCCCACAGCACTGGGTTCAAATCTTAACTTCCCCACTTAAGAGCTTCGTGACACTGCGCAGGCTATTTAATCTCTAGGCAGGTTCTACATCTCCAAAATATCTAAACTCAAGGGGTTACAAATAATGAGAAAGTCCATGAAAGAAATGATACCTGTGTACTATACTCAAGTTTATAAAATCTTAAAAAATATGGTCTCTTTAAAAGTGCTGTTAATGTAAACCATGACCAATAAGGTTCAATAATTTATTTCTTCCTAAGGCAAACAAATATAATTTAATTTTTTCTGGACTATGTCTATTCGCAATTATGAACATAAACTAAAGAAAGTTTACACAAGCTGTCAATCTCTTTATAGACACACCTTGAGCAAAGAGCCACTGGTAGAAATTTAAGTTTACAGAGATGTGTATCTCTGTGCTAATTATTTCCAAAGTGTTACATTTAAAATTAAAAGTAGCTCTTTTCTGAGTCTTTATTCACAGAACTAACTTGTTGTATTTGCCACTTATAAATTCTCCCTCACCCTTTTTTGGTACCAGGAATTGAAATCATGACCTTGTACCACCCAGGCAGGTGCTTGTGCTGCTGTGCTAAACCCCCGGCTCATGAGCCCCTTATTTTCTTAATGTGCTGAGTCTAAGCTATAAGCTCAGAAGCCAGAACTATTTTCAACACAGACTGATAGCATTAAAAAAAAATCCAAAAAACTGTATGTGTATAAGCTTTAGATTCAAACTGCCCTGGTTTAAAATCCGTGTGAAATTAACTTTCCTAGGCCTCAGTGTTCTCATCCTTAAAATGGAAATATTATCTATACTGAAATATTTTGGGAGGGCATGAAAAGTATCTTGCCAAGTGTTTTCTCTTACCTGTCAAACTAAGTTAATCAATCACTTGTTATTATTGCATAACTCACAGCCAAGTTAAAAGTTAAAAAACTTTTTACTACAAACCTTGCATTTAGTGTGAAATGCTCTGGTACCATTTAGAGACACAAAGATGGAAAAGCTTCTGCCCTCCAGAAGCTGAGAGCCTAATGAAGGAGAGGTATGCAAGCAACAGCACAACTGTTTGATACATGCCAGTAAAGCAGCAGTGCTCCATCTGAAGTGGAAATGTTATTCTGCAAGAGGTGATATTTACTCTCAGAGGATTAACAGGCACTCATCAGCTTGGGGGCCAAGGACAGAGGGGGAAGACTTAAGAAGGAGGAAAGAACACACAGATGACCTACAGCAGAGCATGGTAGGTTCTGGAGTCGGGGTTTCCAGAAAGGTGAGAGACACAAGTTGTGACCACACCAATGCTGCCAGTTTGCTGAACCAAGGAGAAGGTGGCCCATGTTAAATAAGTAATTAGACACACAAAGGTATCTTAAGGACAGTGAAAGAGGCTCCTTGAGAAAAAAGGTGACACTGTACGTTTGCATTCACATTATACCAAAATTCTCGCAGCTAAACTAGATTGGGAGAATTGCAGTCAAAGAAAACACATCCCAGCTTATAAAGCAACAACTCTAACCTAAAGTAATTGTGAGGGCCAGATGAGAGTCTAAGAAGGTAGTCTTGACGACTCTATGAAATCTAGGAAAATGCCCCAAAGTCTAGTGTGGCTAAGTGGTTGGGTCATGAGGTCCTAAGTTAAAATGGAGACAAAAGGAACGAGCAGTTCTGACGGAATACAGTGAGCTTAATGTGGAATTTTATCAGTGATAACCATTAGATAGTCTTACCAGAATTGATGCCAATGACAGAAACTAACATTAAGGTGGAAATGGAAGACAAAGGCAAAAACAATGTCATTCAGAGGCGGCATACAGACGACAAATGGGGCAATGAGTAATTTATGGTAGCTACCTATGACACTTCTCCATTTTTAGCTTTCATTTTTTTCAGCTTGACAACCAAATGGTCTCTTTTGATTTGCATACTACTTTAAGTCTGTGAGATTTTTCACACAGATGTGCTAGGCAAAGTTTCCTAAACCTTGTGCCCAGCTTCCTTAGCATCATCTCAGAGCTTGATGTCCAATACAAACAGATGAATGAACTCAACATGGCCTTAAGTTCAGTCAGCCAAGAAGCCAAAATGCGGTACTGAAAGACTCTAAAATTGCCTCAGTTATCCGTTCACATTGTACATAAACATTTAATACATAGCAGTCTAAATTTTTCTCCACATGCTGCTTTTTTTCCTTTAAAAATATGCAGTTTTGAAATGACTTTTTAGAGTTCAAAAACGTAAACTCAACAACTAAAGACTATCCACACTTCAGGTTTCTATAGCAAAGTCAGGTGCAAGACAATACAATTACTGAGTTTTTTAATTGTCAGCTTAAAAAAATACTAAATGTGAAAATCTCACAAAAGTACAGAGTATCTGATACTCACTACTAAGAAGGAAAACTAGCCCACATATTTCTTCAGTGCTTTCTCTGTACACACTTGGTATACACGACATAAACTCAAAAGTGAATGGTCACATATTGGTGGGTGGATCAAGTGAGCTGGCGAGTAAGTACACACAACTGCTGCTGGGCAAAAGAAACTATCAAAGACTTTAATGTGAAGAGGACTAAAAAGGCAGCTTGGCCAGTATTTGTCAGTCTGCTTGTTTTTATTAGCACGATTATTTCTCAGCAAAGTAAAAGAGATTTTAAGAGGTCCATTACTCAATAAAAACTAAGAAAAGAAAACGCTCCACGATCCACTTACATGATTACATTACACTCCAATCTTCATGGCCAATTTCTCAATACTTCCTTTTACTACTTGTCTCTTCCTCTCCCGTACCTCCTTTTTGTTAATGACAGAGGCAATATGGTAGTCAGGGGAAAAAAGTCAAACTGAACATTAACTTCGTGTTTAATAATACCTGAAACTAAATTTAACTAATCTACTTTATTAGCATGCAATTTTACATAAATGTTTTTGAGGGACTGAGAACTGTTTGTGTACAACTGATCTGCCTGCCCGTGGGTCGTGGGAATGTTCTAGTAAAAATTTTCCACTATATACTTTCATAGTTCTGTTTTAGATTATGGGAGACTGTATGGACCTAAAAAGCTTTAGTTCTAGAGTCAGCAGTTTAGTTCTAGCTTCATCATACACAATCTCTGGACCTCTGGATACCTTTCTTAGCACCTTCCATAATAGTTCTTTTATTTGTACAATAGACTAATAATGGTTTATTTCACAAGTCCCAAGAAAATATATAATGTTACCAGGACGACACCCTGTGCTATTTTTACTGTTGTACATTCAGTTAGTATCTATCAACTTACAGTATTTCTAACAGCCTAGGTTCTGCCGTGGTAGGAAAGCTAAAGGCCACTCTATACATTAAAAGAGGCATTACTCCAAGCTTCAATCTTCCACTAGCTAAAAAGGCAGTGATCAGAAGGCAGCCAGTCCTAAAAACCACTGAAAATAACAACTAAGTTGATCAAACATGCACAAAAAGTCTAAATTGTAATGGTATTAAACAGAGAAACAACTATGAGCAGTGCGCCTCGCGCAATCCCGTAAGTTTTAAGAAACTCTTTCTGTTTCCTAACACTGACCAATAGTCATATTCTTTGAAGAACTGGAATCTAGACGGTTTCTCACACTTTTATAAGGTAGGCAAGATATCCTAAATAGTTATGTCATAAAATTATACTTTTGTTTTGGAAGCTACACTAAAAAAAATTAACCTTTCATTCAAATCACACTGAATTCTCGCATTTCATTTCACTATTCAAAGACTGCCAAGCTTGGAACCTTTAACCTAATCATTTCATCACAAAGGGAACTGTTTTGTATTTTGGGCACGGCTTTGAGTTTGGTTTTTTCATTCGGGATTTTACTCTCGAATATACTGTGATTAAAAGGTATTATTTATTAAGCATGTGAGCCCTTCATACCATATCGAGCAACATCTTACTAGATGTTGTAACCAAAGTTAACGTGCTATTTGAAAAGCTATTCAAGATTTTTAAAACACTCGGATACCAACGGACGCTTTTTACCACGAAGCAAATGTGTATTTACTGTGGTGGGGAGAGGAAGAAGGCCACACCCAAAGCCAAGCCTGCACAGTGAAGTGACACGAAGTTTCAACACGTTTTAAACTATTGCTATTTTCGGTCCTCTGTACACAGTTCATACATTCTTTAAAATCCTATCAGACCCCAAGCGAAAGGAAACGTTCCTCTGATATTAATTACTCAGGTGGCTTCATTTAGTAACCGTAAAGTCCAAGACAGAGAATTACATCATTCGAAGAAAAATTTAAATAACCCTGGTGTAGAAAGAGGGCCTAATTCAAACGCTCAGCGCCTGGAAGAGTCTCGGTCAAAGCAGTTACCACCTCCTCTCCCCGGGGCAAGAAGGAAGCGGCCTGGTGGGACCAAAGCAGTCTTGGGCAGGAGACAGGGACCCTCCTGTCCTGTGGATCCCAGGTCCCCCGTCCTCCCTGCTCACCTTGGCCACGTAGTCCTTCACCTCGTCCAGATCTCCGTTCTTCAGGGCCCACATGAACTCCTTGTCGCACATCACTGCAGCTGGCAGGCCGGGTGGCCGGGCAGGGCACGGCGGCGGAGGCGGCAGCACGAGCGGAGCCGGCCAGCTAGAAGGCGAGGAGCGGGGAGGCGCGCGGGCCGCCGGGCGGGCAAGGTCTTTGGCTAGGGCGACCTCTGGGGCGGGAGAAAGAAAGTTCTTTCGCGGCCACCGGGCCCTGCACAAGAGGTTCCGCCCGGCGGAGGCGAAGCAGCAGGGCTTACACTTCCGGTTCACTCCCCGCTAGGGCCCGCCCCCAACTTCCGCTTCCTCTTCCCCTGGGAGGAAGGTGGGGCTGCTGACCCGGCTTCCACCGCCCTCACTGGAGCTCTCCTGTGCGCAGGCTCAGTGGCCAGGCTGGCAGGAGCCGTGGGAGGGGGAGTCCGGAGCGCCCGAGTGGGCGGGGCGGGCGGACGGGAGTAGGAACTCCCTGTGCGTAAATTTGAAAATTAGTTAAAAGAATATTGGAAGGCATCTAGCTCATCTAAAAATTTCCCAGTATTTAATTTGGATTGCTTCGCCCATTTTCTTTCCTGCCTGCCTTCCTCCTTTTCTCTTTCCCTATTTTCTTCGTTTCCTCGTTTCAAACCGTTTAAAAAATTCCACATCGAGAATTTTTAAAATGTAAATTGCACTAGATGTTTGTGCGCTGCTTTGTGAAATCAAACTGGATTCCTAGTCCTGCATGTCATTTGCTGGTCAGGGAAATGAATTCTTTGTTTCCTTCCTCCTCCTCCTCTTTTCTCTCCTTTATCCTCTCAGCCTCCCTTTTGCTATAGGGGACATAATATAATTCCCAGCCTGCTAGACGTCAAATACAATAAGTTAGTGTTCCCCAAATTTCAAGAATCAATTCTAAGGAAGAACAAAGGTAACAATAGGAAAAATTTATTGAGAAAGATAGCTTCTGAGAGCTAGACAGGACCTGAAGGTAGGTTGTCAAAGGACCCGCTTCATAAAGGAAGTTTTATAGAGCAAAATTACGAGGTGGGTACAATGTGGGTCGAAAGTATAATCAACCAATAAGAATACAAGTATAGCCTATTAAGTAATTGATCCAATGGGGAAGCATGTTACATAAGAAGTGTACATGAAGGAATAAGTATCTTAGGAAGACATGGATCAGGGGGTCCTGGTCACCCACCTAGGTGGCCGATAATTATCTAGGCTTTTCTGAATCAGGTAATACCAGTTATAGCATAATCTTTAATCTATTGCTTATCCCTTGGGGAGGCATGGAGGCCTGGTCATTCCACTTTATCTTGATGCCTGGCTTTTGGCAGATATGCTGTAATGTGTTCTCATCCTCTACACTGGACTCCTTGAGGGTCTGCTCTGTCTGACTACCTATAATACAGAATTTCTACGTAACTTAGGTCTCTCATAATATTTCTTCTCTTCCTTCCTTCCTTCTTCTTTGCTTTCCTTCTTTCCTTATCCCTTTCCTCACTCCCTTCCTTCTCTCCTTTCCTCCTCTCTTTCTCCCTCCATCCTTTCTTCTTTCCTTCTCTATGCAGTATTCTTCAGATTCTATGCTCTGCTAAGCAGCCAGAAGATAGTAAAAGGATAGAAGAAAGCAATTCCTTCCCTCAAGGAAATCTTCAATACTTAAAGCAACAATGTGAATTTAGTACTGTCTTAATACCACGTATAATATTTGGTGATGTGAATAACTTGAGGATATGGTAGGGAAAACAAAACAACAAACCACAAACAAACTCAGCTCTCTGACCAGAAAATGACATTCAATACTAGAAATTCAGCTTAATTCCAGAAAAAGTAAAGTTACCCGGTATACCTTATGTTTTAAAGTGCATGCCTCTGTGTAGGAGTGTGTGTGTGTGTGTGTTTGTGTGTAGTGAGTTGAAGCTTCATTACCATTCCAGTGAGACAGTTCTGTTCTTCTTGATACAAAACCTTGGAGCACATCAACCATGTGACTTGTACCTTATAATCTTAATTATTCAGACTTGCACATGTGAACACAGAGAGATCCAATGACAACTGTTTATGGCTAACAAAACAAGTTGCTTCACTACTGTTGCCACATATGTAGGAATCTGAAAACACACCATCTAGAACTCACTCTCATTAATTATATGTCATGTTGAGCCTGTTATTTAACTGCTGCCTGCTTCAGAGTTGTACATGTATAAAATAGAGATAATAATATTGTTCAGTAAGTGTATTTTGCTGTTTAGTAATAATGGATACAGGTTTTGAATAAAAAGAAAAAAACCTCTAAATATTTAACAATTACCTATATTGTTATTCTGCTAATTTTACTTCCTGCTGTAATATCTCCCAAGGGGTGAATACCATGCCAAGCCATGTCACTGGTCTGCTAGAACATGCAAGAAAAGTGATCCTAACTCCAGCATCAATGAAGACTTAAGTTTAAAGTAAAAGAAGACAATTTATTTGAAGGTAGGGGGAAAGCAGGAAGAAGAGGAGAGAGAGATAGGCAGACAGAGAGAGGGAAAGCAAGACTCTACTCTGTGTATTAAAAAGGATATATTCCTGGATTTCTTCTCTGCAGCTCCTTGTTGTTGTTGTTGTTTTGTTTTTTGAGAACCTTATCCCATGTAGGCTCCTGGAATCTGATTGGCTCCCGGGCTGTTTTTGACCCTCCCCTTGAATTTCTTCTGGTCCTATGACCTTTCCTGTTATTTGGGTGGAGGCCCGGATTATGAGTGGGAGATTTAGGGAATGGTAGTTTGGATTTAAAAATTAAGTAAAGGTGTTATATTGATCTCTGTATTTGGGACCTTCCTGAGTTTAGTTTCTTTGCCTTTGTTTTTCTGATTGCTTGAACCTCCTCTGCAGAGGCTGCAGCTCTTAGAATGTCTCTCCATTAACTTCTAACAAAGTTCAACAAGGCCTTCATTCTGTCTTTTCCCTACCTAGGGATCCCCTGTCCCTAACTGACAATGGGAACTATAAATTCACATATACACTGATGAACATTTCCAGAAATAAATCTCAAGGAAGAGTTTTTTAGGCTAATCATGCAGTCTTCAACTATTCTCTAAGTCATACTTTCACCTGTATATATGATTTCTGATTTACCTTTTTAGTTCAGACTTCTCATATGTGATTCATATCCATATTCTGCTTCTTGCCTAGTTGAATGTCTTGAATTTAAGATGTGTAAATGGAACACATCTTAGTTTTCTATGGATTCCAAACCTAGTTGATTCCTTGTCCTTCCCCATTTCTGTAAATGGCATCACAGAGTAGCCTAAACCAGAAACATGAGTCTTAACTCCTGCAATTCTCAGCTTTTCTCCTATTCAAACTGTAAGTGCTTTGAAATATATATATTAAATTAGGCCACTTCTTTACATCACTCCCACCTCTCCTCTAGCCACTGCTATCTCATTTGCTAAGACTATAGACTCCACACTAGTTTCCTCATTTCTGCTTTTATCCCTTTCTATGTAATTCCTCACATGCAGCATGGTGGATTGACAACTGGTGGTCAACTTGCAATACCAGCTGAACTGAATCAGTGTGGTGCTGTGTGTGGATGGCCCACACAAAGACTGTTGCCAAGATCAAAATGGGAAGTGGAGCAGAAGAGAGTGATATTGTTTGGTGCTGTTGATTCTCCTGTTGCTGTGGGTTCTCCTGGAGAAGCCTTGTTGAGCTTCTTTCCCAATATGAACTTGGCTGTTCTCAGCATCAGAGGAATTTGAGACCTTGTTTTGGCTGAGAATGGCTGTGGTTCACTTTGGAGGAGTTCTGGCTCTTGTCTTGAGCACTGCTTCTTGGCTTTGGAGGGGGAGGTGGTGTGCTGCTCTATCTCCTGGAGAAGCTTGTCACACTGGCTTCCTGATATGAACTTGGCTGTTCTCATTCTCAAAGGAACTTGGGACCTCATTGACTCTGAGGATGGCTGTGGTAAATTTTGGTGAAACTCTGGTTCTTCCTTTGAGCGTTGCTTCCTGGCTCCAGTGCAGAACCCTCGGCCTGCTGGCACAGATCCTTCATGTCACTGGCACAGACTTTCTAGCTTCCACTGCTGACGTTGGGCCTGCCCAGCATGGATCTGTGAAACTGTCTTGCATGAGTCATTGTCATGGGCTCTAGGCCTCCAACTGAACTCCTGGGAGGTATTGTCATGGGCTCTGGCCCAGCTAAACTCATGCAGGATACTTACAGGGGATCCAGGCCCATGATCTAATTCTCTAGGTGTTCAGTGTGTGGACAGATTTCCTTTATATTTGACCCCTTGGGTGAACATTATGAATAATACTATAAATTATGTGTTTTGTATTGCCTTGTGCTCCTTGCAAACCCTGACTACAGCATAGAGTTACCCTTCTTTATATGAGAAACATTCCCTACTGTGATTTCCTGTTATATCTGGGATACAATCCTGTGTATTTATCGCAGCCTTTGAGACCCTCTGTGACCAGACCCTAAAGGTTGTTTCTGTCTCATGGCAATTTCTCCCACCCTCTGTGCTTCTTCAGTTCCTGTATGTCTTGCATTCCATCCTAGCAACTGTATCCTATCTAGAATGCTCTTTTAAATGTTGCCTACTTCTTCCAAACTTTTAGATCTAAGTGTTACTCTTTCCTCTTCAGAGAGGTCTCCAAGACAACTCATTTCAAATAGGTCCCTCAGTTCTACCACGTGGCCCAATTGTTTTTCCTTGACAGCATTTAACACAAATATTTTTATTTATCTATTTTGGTAGGTATTCATGATAGTCGACAAACTTTTCATCTGCCATTCTGGACACAAGAACTGCTCTTCCTGGCTTCCTTATCATTGATTAACATTATGTAACTAATTTTGGCTTCTTAGATAGGAGCTGAAGTAATGTGAGTCACTTCTAGGCTTACCAAGGCAAGACCCTTCAGAACTCCAGCAACCAGAAACATTGAAGATTGTGACTCCAAAATCAGTCTAGATGAGGACAATGAGCAGTTTCTCACCATCCTAAGATAGATATGGTCTCATTGCTGAGACAAAATACCTGACACTCAAAGTTAAAGGAGGAAAGGTTTATTTAGCTCACGGTTTGTAGAGGTTTCACTCCATAATTGGCTGAATCCAGAGCAGGGTGGCATTGCAGAGGAGAAACAGTTCCTTGTGGGCTGAAGGGAGTAAAGCAATAAGGGGTGACCACAGCTCTTTCTGCCCCTTTATACCTTATCCAGGGTATCAGTCACATCTTTAATCCTGATGCTCTTTGTCCTAGCATTGCATCATGAATCAATCCCAGCATCACATACTC